GCAAGCGAACCGGTGACCCTTTTAGCGTTGTCTCGGTTTTCGACGCGAGTCGGACATGGGCTAAGGAGACCTAATCCACCACTCTTGCTGTTCATGTGTTGTGTTTAGTATGGCGTTTGCTGGAGGTCCGCCCTGGACGACGGCTGGAACGGACGGATATGTGCGTGTTGGCATAGAGCTCAAGGTTTATCAGGGTCAGGCGTTCCATAGATCGAACATAGAGGAGCGGGTCTTTGTGGTAAGGTTAGCTGTAGGAGTCGAACAACAAGAAAGCATCCGATTACATGGACACGTAAAGACAAGCCGCATGCAGTGTGTTTGTACAAGCCGTCGAATTAAGTTGGCGAATGGCAAAAGCATCAGACGTCCATGTTATACAATTAGAAAGCGCATAGTCGCTCAACCAAGTTCGTACGTAAAGTGCGAGCGAACCGAACAAGCTCTTTCAAAAAAGACAGCTCCCATGCACACCATATGCCTGGGAACCCCGTAGAAACGGCACGCCAGCCCATCTACTCGTCCTTGACACCGCCACGGCCCGCACGCTCAGCAGCCTCGATGCTCTTCTTATCCGTCTTGATCTCGCCGCCGCTCATGGCGCCCATCATGCCACCAGCCGCCTTCCACGGCCTAGCGAGGTCACCGGTTGCCGGCTGGCCGAAGAGGTGGACCTTGACGAGGTTGCCTTCGAACGCGCCCTTGAGGGGGATGATGGACTGGATGAGGAGCGGGTTGGTGTACTTGAAGTAAAGGTGCATCACGCCCATCATGCCGACACCCATCAGCTGGGCCTTGAAGAGCTCGCGCAGCTTCTGCAGGTCGTAGGCTTTGACGGTGGTAGCGACGAATTTCGGCTCCTCGCCTGAGCCCATCGGGGCCGGCTCGACGTATTTGACGACCGTCATGTCTGTGGTGTTTTGTTAGTCGCTGTGTCGGTCTACCCTGGGCTCTTCTTTCCACGCACCATTCTTCTTGTTGATCTGCGCCTGCACGTAGAGGTAGATACCCGCGATGATCAGGTTGGAGACGATGTAGAGCGCGCGCACGCCGTTGAGGACAGTCGGATCGTCGAAAGGTATCTTCTTGGAGATTTGCATAAATCCCAGGATGATGACCAGGTTGGAACTGCAGTCGAGTTAGCAAACTGTCTTCAACACCGGGCGCAGTGGATCCGGCGTACATTTGCGGGCTGATGGCCATGGTGACGTTGGAAGCGGATTGTTCGGGTGAAGAATTGAAGTCGCTTTCGCGATCGTTTGACAAGAAGCTGGGGGTAGAGATGTGGTTGCGCGGAACGTGGGTGAGAGGGTTAAGAACAAGCGGGCGACTTTTGTGGTGGGCGAGGGTCATGATTAGCGCGATCCAAGAGGCCAGGTTGTTGCCCGCCGCTGGCTAGCCCCAACAGGCATTCACCCTTCTAGTCTTATCTAATGCCTTCTCTAGACACATAGGGCGAGAACGACACAGAAGTTTTGGTGCGCGTCACGAGTATAGAAGGTGCACAGGTATATGATGGAAGATTGTAAAGGCCATTCGCGCCTTCTGATCGTTCTGATGCAGGGTATCTCATCTATAGACCTCAACATGCATATGCCATAACAAATCCAATATCAAGCCATACTCTGTATGTTCCAATGACGCCGCGCTAATGATTCAAAACTCCCTCGCCGGCTTCGTAGATACCTAATCGCGAAACGGTGTCGCGGCGATATGCAATGCAAACAACCAACGAACAAACAGAGAGGAATTTCTCCCACATACACAAATCCTGCCTTCCTCACATCACCAGACATTCGCGATCCGGCCTGTTCTTGTCCTTATTCTTCCCTTTGTCTAGGACTGTACCAGGTTCCCTACTCTTGCTCCTCCGTCTGTCTTTCTTCTCCTTCTTGCTCTTGCTGCCCGATAGACCTGCTTCTTTCTTCTCTTTGGCCGGAGAGTGGCCCTGTTGATCGTTCTCTACGCTCTTCACTTTTTCAATCACAATGTGAGGTTCGTCGCTGGGAGCTGCTTCAGTCGTAACCAGCTTGTCCTTGCTACCGCGTCCCGTTAGCCTCGATAACGTAAGAGACAAACGAGTCTCGCCGCTTGGACTACCTGGTCGACTTCTGTTGTTCCCAGACAACCATATTCGAGAGCCGCGCCGGGATACGGACAAGAAGCTGCTTTTCTGATCATCTGGTGTTTGCGGTTCAGTTCGGCCACGTAGGCTGCCTTCGCCATCCTCGATCGCGGTGCTGCTGCGCCGATTGCTGGACATGCTGGTTCGACTAGCTGGCTCGTCTGTAGAATTGGATTCAGTATGCGGATCTTTGGTGTTGAAGTTGTCGTTCTCTACACCGGCCTCGGCATCCGCGGCTGTTGTAGAGGGCAGGGAAGCCAGCGTTTCTCGTGAAGGGTCGACGGACGGAACTCCTGATTGCGCTTCTGCATATGTGGGCGGATCTCCCCGGGAAGCGAGCTCTTCATCGATAGGCTGCACTTGGTAAAAGAGCAGATACGGTGACTCTTCTCGCAAGGCTGTCTTAATGTCAACTTCAGTCACCCGTTGCGGCGAGAGATCGTCAAAGCGTATCCACTTTTCCAGCTCTTCCTCCGAATCTGATTGCGCGGTGCCAGGTCGTTCGCGAGCGTTGGCACGGACAAGCGCAATATAGTGGCCAGAGTCGACTGATACGCCCCGATGACAGACGACAGACTGGAGGACAAGTTTGAAATTGCCAAACAGCGGGCCTTCTTCTTTCATCCGATCATCAGATATGAAGTGAGGTAAACCGATATCAAGCGGAATGTCGATATATGTATTCAGACGCTTTGGAGCGCCGTGCGGCGTCATCGTATATCTCTTCAGGCATATGCCGAGAACCGGACGCTTCACCGAGAAATGCGCAGCGACTTGAGCATCGGTCTTTGGTACATTGTCGGTATACCAGGGGATAAGACTGAAGAACTGCCAAGCCGGCATGAGAATCTCCTTCTTAAGTAGAGAGGCTGATCGTGGTCGGCCGCTGGAGCTGTTGTCCAGCATGTCCTCGACGTGCTTCTTCTCATCAAACTTGCTCGTTTCCTGTGACTGACGTGTATATCGCTGGCTGAAGATACTATCAGCGCGACGGCGGCCTTGCAGATTTGGTCGCGTTGGAGTTAGTGGTGTGCTTGGCTCGTAAGTCATCGGCGTAGAGACGAGAGGAGTCATCGAGCCCTCCATCTCCATCGTCTCTATATGTATTGTCTCATTCTTCTCGGGATCCTTGTCTACGAATTCTTCGTCTTTGGACTTGATGGATGCTATCGTATTTTGGCGTTGCAGGTATCGCTTGACCTCGATTCTGTTATTGAAATAGGTTTCCAAACAGTCTTCCAATGTGACAACGTCATCGCCTTCTTGTTCTGGAATGGCGACTTCGAGCAGCCGTTCGTTGACGAACTTGTGGTCATCTTCCTTGTCTTCACGTCCGGTGTGGTAGATGTCCATCTTGAGGGTGAGTAGCGGCAGCTCGAGCGCACCAGTGATGAAAGTGAAAGCTTCCGAAGCGTCTTGTTGACGGACCTGTGCAGCATCTTCCCATCCGCACTTGGCAAGCGAATCCTGGAGGTGCTTTGTCTACGATGTGCGTTAGCCACGGAGGAGTTGGATGACGAGGTAGGTCGTACCAAATCGACCTTGATGAGCTGACCACTCCTCAAGAGATTGACCCATAAGCGCAACACAGCCGCCAATTTCTTCCTTGGCTCATCCTCAAAGTTGTCATACAACATGGCCTCAAAGCTGTCGAGACGCGCGAACATGGCAAACAGCAGTGCGTCCAGGTAGCATGTCACCATGTTCCGGTTTATGGCGCCCAGCATGGTCACATCAGGACTGAAGTCCTTCAGCTCGCCTTCGAGCGATTCGTTGGCGAGCACTAGAAGATCGTAGGCTTTGTCGATGTCGTTGGGATGCCAGGCGAGGGCATGTTCGGCCTGTTCCTCTCCCATGCTGGTTATGCCAGCGCCTTGTAGGCGTGAAAGGAGCATCTTGACCTGCAGCCGGTTAGCCAGGTTGCATGCAGCCTTGTTCCCTCGCGTACCTTCTTCTCGGACTCATTGTTCGCTGGCGGTCTGGGACCTTCGCTCGTGAATATCCTGTAGAGGTCGGGCGAAGCATTGGTGGATTTGGACTGTAGAGACACATAGTCAGAAGAATGCGATGTTGAAGGTGGATCGGCGTTGGGTGTAAGAGAAGAAGCACGGCATGGTAGCTTCTGGTGTAGAAATAGAAGACTATCCTCTACCGATGTTCGCAGTACAAATGGGAGCTTGTGGTACAGCGTCTCGATGCCGGCAGACAAGCGCCGCTGGCAGCTGGGCGAGTCTTCCGGCAGCGCAACGGCGGCAGAGCATAGCAAAGGACTGAGAGAGTTGACAGAAGCGAAGGAGCTCAGGCGTACTTTGGTATGGGCGTGCTTGGACGCGCGCTTCTCATGATGCTTGTCGCGCCGGCTGAGAAAGCGTGACATGCCGTTCATGGTGGTGGACGGTGAAGGCGAGACCCATTCAGTGAAGGGAACGCGGCGGTGGGTAGCGGGGCAGGCAGCGAGCTTGGGTTCGGTGGTGGAGGAAGGTGCAGACAAGCCCTGAGCCCGGTGGTCGGTGGGGAAGCGAGCGGGTGTTTGGGGCTGGCTGGCGGCCGCTGGGAGTTTGTCGGTGAAAGCGCAATGGTGACGCGCGGTCAGAGGAGCGGCCGACAGACAGTGACCTCAACGCACGACACAAAAAGAAAGAGAAGAGCACAGCATGTCCCCGATGCCGATCAGCCGCATGTCGCGAGCTGACGTCCGACCTGGAGCAGTGGCAGGTGCGGACGAGTGGGGTAGCCCTATTGGCTAGCCGCGGACCCTAGAACCGCCCATCCCTGCCGCCCTCGCGTCTCGCGTATAGCGTATTCCGAGGAAAAGTCCGTTGGAGACGCTGTCGCATGCTGTGAGGCCGTACCCACGACGACGCCGCACCACACACCCATGGCACTGCGCGAGCTGCCATTCCGCACGGCCACGGCCCTCTGCAACAGCACCAGACCCGCCATCCGCGCGGCTGTCCCCCTGTGCCGCCGCAATGCCTCGTCCGAAGCAGTCCGCGAAATTGAAGATGCATCATCATTCGAGGTCCCGCCGCCATCGCAGGAGCTGGCAAAGAACTACGACCCCGTAGAGCGGAGTCGGCTGCGGAGGAGAGGAAACAAGCAGCTGCCGCCAAGCAGGTACGGCCGCTGAAGCATGCACCAGTAGACACACAGGCTCATACATACCAGATACCAGTACCGATCCCCCAAATACTACCGCGGCCCTCTGCACCCCCACCAGCCACCTCCCGAGTCGGATCCCTCTTCGCGACTCTTCCAGCCTGGACCCTTCAGCCTGTCCCGTCTCGAGCAAACCTACCAGAGCAAGATCGCGTCCGATCTCCTCACCCTCACATATCAGCACTACCCTCCCGGTTACCGCGCTCCCAAGACGGAGCAAAGACTACGAGAATGGACTGGCGACTCCCCGTACTTCAAAAACCGCCCCCTCAGGCCTCCACGAGGTAAGGGTGAGGTGCTCCGGCTGCTTCAAGAGCCCCGCACTTTCCGCAACATACCCAAGATCACAGGCGTCACAGTCCACTCCATGGTGCCAGAAGCGCAAGAGAACAGCGGGAATCTGCACGTCGCAGGTATGATCCTGCAGGCCATCAGCAATGTACGAGCCGTGTCGCACAAGGCGAGACACAATGTCGTTGGGTGGGGCTTGCGTGCGGGCAGATATGTCTCGGTGACGGCCAAGATGGAGCGGGAAGATGCGGAGCACTTTCTGACAAAACTCATCGATGTGGTCCTGCCAAGGATCAAGGAGTGGAAAGGAGTACCAGGTTCGTCTGGAGACGGACACGGTAACATGAGCTTTGGTCTCACCCCAGACCAACTTGCCCTCTTCCCGGAAATTGAGGTCAACTATGATGCGTGAGTCTGCTTTCCTCTAGTAATCTATGCTCCGACTGACACAGTTCAGATACCCACCAAAGATGATTCCCGGTTGCCACATCACCATCCAAACCGATGCCACCAACAACAAGGACGCACGTCTACTCCTCCAATCCATTGGAATCCCATTCTACGGCAAGCTAAACGACTAAATATCTGTGTCCGACCATTGTGTATAAACTGTGTAGAACATGTAAGAATTATATACGTCTTACGATACATTGCATTCATCGCATGTATCCATCCTGCATTTTGTTTCTGTCCAGTTAAAGAAAGACTATAGTACACCGCGCAACGAAGAATGAGAATAACATGGACGGTTGTAGATTTGAGCTAGATGAAGCACAAAATAGGTCTCTGTCTAACCGTCATGTATGCCCGCCGCGAATGTCTTACTATTGCGAAACGTGCACTGCAACATGGGTGAATGTTGAGGACCGCGGCTTGAAAACATACATCGCGAGCAGCACCATGTTCAGAACCACAGTACTGGGATACGCAGACCAAGCAGAATGTCTTTATGATTTAAATGTTCGGCCTCTTCATCTCGACATGAGACTGCAACCTATCGGGATGTGCCCTCGATAGACGAGTTATTTTCGTGAAGTTGTCGGGCGCGGACGGACCCTGGCACGAGATTTTAGGTTGGCCAAGCTCCCCCGAAGAACTCCCGCCATGTCGCAGCTTCGCTCAGACCGCTAACCACCACTAAACCGACCCGCGATACCCTCCAAAAACCCCAGAGTTGCTTCCGTGACCACCATACCCGTCACGATGCAGGCAATCCGGCAACCCATGCGCTCTGCGCTCTCAAAGGCCGCTACCAGGCAGTATGCGACCGCTTCCTCGCAGTATGCCGAGACGATTAAGAACCTTCGCATCAACGGCGACACCAAGGTCCTGTTCCAGGGCTTCACGGGAAAGCAGGGAACGTGAGTGCGACTGCAAGAGCGCGTGGTCGGAAGAGGGGCTAATGCAGGACCAGCTTCCACGCACAACAAGCCATTGAATACGGTATGCGCAACGGACCCGCTGATATAATCTTGTGAGGGGGAGGACTGACAGGGCGACAGGCACAAAGGTTGTTGGAGGCACAAACCCCAAGAAGGCGGGCACCGAGCACCTTGGACTGCCCGTCTTCAAGAATGTAGCAGAGGCCATGAAGGAGACTCAGGCTTCCGCTACTGCCATCTTCGTTCCGTACGCCATACCCCACAGCCGCATACAGACCATGCGATCTAACAGACTTGTAGCCCGCCAGTCGCTGCTGCCAGTATCGAGGAGGCTATCAACGCAGAGGTTCCTCTGATTGTGACGTAGGTGTACACATCAAACTCGGATACTTGGAAACTTACAACCGACAGTATTACTGAGGGTATCCCGCAACACGGTATGAACTACAGACATGGTCAACGAGGCACATATACTGATTGACGCAGACATGGTCCGCATCACAGACATGCTCAAGACACAGAACAAGTCTCGCATGGTCGGTCCCAACTGCCCCGGTATCATCGCTCCCGTACGTTCTTTGCCTACCTCTTCCAGTCGGGATGTGACGTTGACTTGAATAGGGTCAATGCAAGATTGGTATCATGCCAGGCTTCATCCACAAGCGCGGCCGCGTCGGTATTGTTTCTCGTTCCGGAACCCTCACATACGAAGCCGTCAACCAGACCACCCAAGCCGGCCTTGGCCAGTCACTCGTTGTCGGTATCGGCGGTGACCCCTTCTCCGGAACCAACTTCATCGACTGCCTGAATGTCTTCCTGAAGGACGAGGAGACTGACGGTATCATCATGATTGGTGAGATTGGTGGTTCCGCCGAGGAGGATGCCGCAGACTTCTTGAAGGAGTACAACACTGCCAACAAGCCCGTTGTCAGCTTCATCGCTGGTATCTCTGCACCGCCAGGCAGGAGAATGGGTCACGCTGGTGCCATTGTTAGTGGTGGAAAGGGTGATGCCAACTCCAAGATCACCGCGCTTGAGGCTGCTGGTGTCACTGTTGAGCGCTCCCCCGCCAAGCTAGGATCAACTCTCTACGACCAGTTCGTCAAGCGCGACTTGATATAAGCAGTCATAACGATGTTTCATTGAACTGCTTGAACGTGCCGGCTTGCATATTGTGGCTGCTGCATTAGGTCCATTGTACATTTTAGTCATAAGAGCAATCCATCGTGTGTGCATCTTCAGACCATATCCTCTCTAATCATGGTTTGGCTTGCTATAAAGGTTCTACTGAGTAATGTGCAGGTATCGTGCTGACGTGCATGCAGCCCTCTTTTCACATGCAGATCCTGAACCCTGCTTGGGCGTGACCCAAACTAATCATTTTCGTCGAGTTCCCCGCAAACCTCCGAGCCGCATCCAATTGACTGCACTCTGCAATCACAAACACAGCAACAGCATGTCAAAAACAAAGACCAAGCGCGCCCGTCGCGAGCTCAAGCGCGAAGGTGAGAAGAAGATCTTCGCGTTCCACAAGAAGAATGCGAAAGCAGCGGCCGACTCCAAACCCACGGCAAAAACTCCAGCAAACAAGAAGCAGAAGATGAGCGCACCAAACGCAGCAGCAGCATCCACACCTGCAACGACGCCCGCCCACGCGCAACCCCCAAAGAAGAAGCACAAAATTCCCTTTGGCGAGTACGACCACATACTCCTCGTCGGCGAAGGCGACTTCAGCTTCACGCGCTCCCTCGCCATAGAACACGGCTGCGCAAACGTAACGGCAACGAGCTACGACAACGAAGAAGACGTCCACAGCAAATACCCTTCCTTTAGAGAAATCCAAACCGAACTCTCCTCCCTAACACCACCCGTCCCCCTCCACCACGACATCGACGCTACAAAACTATCCAGCTACAAACACCTACGGTGTAACCGCGACGACGACGATGACAACGACGAAGAAGGCTGGGACATAATCGCCTTCATGTTCCCGCACACAGGCGGCCTATCCACCGACGTAAACCGACAAGTGCGCGCCAACCAAGCCCTATTGGTATCCTTCTTCAAATCCTGCCTCGACACCTCGAATCCCAAACGACGACTACAAATCCTGCGGAACCAGGATGATAACAAGAAAGGCAGCCCGCCCCAGCAACCCATCCGCCCTTTCCTCCGCATGGGCGGCAAGATCATCGTCACGCTCTTCGAAGGCGAGCCGTACACGCTGTGGAACATCAGGGATCTGGCGCGCCATGCGGGGTTGAAGGTGGTGGAGAGCTGGCAGTTTGATTGGAGCCAGTATCCGGGGTATCATCATGTGAGGACGCTGGGAGCAATGGAGACGGGGTGGAAGGGTGAGGATAGGGCGGCGCGCATGTTTGTGTTTGAGAAGATTCCGTTGGTTGCGGATAGTGATGAGGAGAAGGAGATGGCGAGGCAGGCCAAGGTGGGCAGAGGTGGGCGACTGCCAAGTCAGAAAGAGGCGATGAAGAGGGCGATGGACGAAGATGAGGAGGATGAAGACGACGAGTGAGCTGGAGATGGCGGAGACGCGCACGGTTGAGCAATACCTCCGACACGGAACAAGTGCATGCTTGCGGGCGAAGCGTAAAGTGTTCATTGAGCTTAGGAACAATACCCAAGGCCTTGAGGTCCTTCCTATCTACACATGAAAGAATCAGGTACGCCGACCCATACCGCGCCGAGCAGATTCCCATACCAAAACGCCACGCTATACCGGACTATCATACAAATGCCGCTAGAAGACAGAAAGACAGACAAAACATCACATAACATAAACCTTCCGGACCTCGCTCTCAGGCCACTGCTTGCCGCTCAGTCCTTCTGCCGGGTCCCTTACGAATCCCTCTTCCGTGCCAACCTTCTCGTTGAAGACGCGCAGTCTCTCGGAGCCGTAGATGCGATGGTTGGGCAGTACTACGGGACTGTCTTCCACGATACTCTTAGTGTGGAGGGCGTAGGGAACGTTGCGCGCCAGCTCGTTGAGCTCGGTACTACAGATTGGGCATACGGTCGTGGTAGAGGAAGCGGCGTTTGTGGAGGAGGGTGTGTAGGCGGAATGGCAGGCGGGTGTCTTGAGCGCGGAGAGACCGGCGCTCAAGGCGACGTGGAGGAGCGGCCGCGGGGGCAGGGCGTAGAGGGTGTGATGAGTCGCGACGAAGCAATCGGCCAGATGCGACCACCTTGATGCCGAGTAGAAAGACTAGAAGGAATGTTAGAGATAGGGACCATCAGCGGTCTGGGGAGACTCACAGCATAAGGTTCCACCTCGTCCCACGGCCTATACGCCAACATGCCCGCGGCCCTCCTCATCAATTCGAAATCCCCACTCGTACTCAAATACTTCTTTGCATGCGCCCTCGCCTCCATCAACTTCGTTTCTCCACCTCCGCCCCCTATGCTGACTCCATGCATACCATCATCTTGTGTCTCCAACCCATCCATACCGCTCAACCCGGCCTCGTGTCCCTGTCTCACCAACTCAATATACTGCTGCAGCCTGAGCTCGAATTCGAGCAGGCTACCCCCCTTCTTGAGTTCTTTGCCATGTTCCTTGCACCACTCAAGCGCCAATGTTGTACTCATGCCTTCCCGTAAACTCTTCTCAATTTTGTGACACGCAACGAATGCATCCACATCCACGAGCTCGGTGATTCCTTTGCTCTTCGCCAGACACGCTGCGCTCTCTGCATACCCCTCTCTTAGCAGGTAATCCACGAGTAAGCGGCTTAACCGCGTGCGTGACCATTCATCGTATTTGACGTCGACGAGGCTTTGCATCTCGTAAAGGTCTTGCAGGTGTTGTAGGCGCGCTTTTGTGGAGCGGTGGATGCGCGCTTCTTCTTCGTGGAGGTTTTCTAGTTTGCGCTTGAGGTTGTGCATCTTGCTTATCATGGTATCGATAGAGTCGAGTGTGGCTTCTGGGGAGGCGTTCTTGGAGGCGGCTTTGGTGGCGGCGGTTAGGGATGTGGTGAGTGCGCTGGACGAGTGTTCGATGACGCGCTGGGCGTTTTTGAAGTTGCGCCGCGAGAGCTCGTAGGGCATGCGCAGGAGTGGTTGGTCCTGTGATCGAGTTAGTAGGTAATACGGTATGTCTGGGTAGCCGGGGACGCTTTACGAGGAGGAGATGCGACTCCGCATTGAGCTTTGTACTTGTGAGCTCCGCCATGGCGGGCGGAGAGTGAGAGGAAGGAAGGAAAAGCTTCGTGTAAGAGTCGCTGTATTCCGGGTTGTCGCGGTTTCAGATAAATACAGCGGGAGCGAAGGTCTCGAAGAGTAACGGCATGAGATTGGAAAGATGGGAGGCTTGGTGTAGATGCTTAGCTCCACTATCGTGGTGGAAGCTTGCGGGGGTGCTCGCTCGTCACAGCTCATAGCTCACCAAGAGGCACGTGCCGAACATGTACCTACCGATAGCCACATGTCCGTCCTACGTAGCCTCAGAACAGCTGTCTGCACATCCTTCTTCTCGATTACACGCATGTCAAACATCCTCTGTCCACCGGAAGTATCATGTACATACACGCACAAATACATCATCACAACTACACGCACGACCCTTAGCAACGCAAGCAGCACCCAAAATATGTAAACAACAATACATGCTTCTATGTGATATCATTCTGATCGTAAGGCAACTCTAAAACTCCTCTAAGACCCAATGCATCATAACGCATAATCCAGATGCCTCTACCCATGCAGAACGACACTGACGCAGGAAGCGATGAGCTGCCGGCCTACTGCAGAGGTATCCTGAAACCTGCTCTAAGGCCATTACTTTTGTTGTACCTGCGTTCCACAGCTCGAAGGACGCATGCAACTTGCGAAACTATCCCCAAAATCCGCTTAGAGAGCACCAGTCGACGCCATCTTCTTGCGGAGATGGTCCTTGTACTCGCCAATGGTTCCGTCCCACCTGCGGACGGTCTTGTGCTCGCACACCATAATGTCCTTCGCGATCTTGTCAAGCAATCTATCCATTGTTAGCAGGCTGATCAAGTAGGAGAGTTAGATTGAACATACCGGAAGTCGTGGGAAACAACAACGACACCACCGCTGAAGGCGTTGATGGCATCCGCCAAACTGTCAATAGTAGGGATATCCAGACCGTTGGTAGGCTCGTCAAGCAACAACATGTTGGGTCCCTCAATAGCGAGCAGAGCGAAGACGATACGGGACTTCTGACCATCGGACAGAGTGGCCATCTTCGATGTCTGTGCCTCACCAGTCATACCGTAGCGACCGAGTTGTTGGCGCCAGTATTGAAGATCCTGGCTGATGTGGTGGAACTTATCACGGACGAAGTCAAGGGCAGACTTGGTGAGGTCAAGCTGTTCAGCAGAGTGCTGGCTGTACACACCGAGCTTCAAGTGAGTGTGGCGCGACACAACACCGGATGTGGGGCTGAGCTTTCCGGTGAAGATGTTGAGAAGGGTGGACTTTCCAACACCGTTGGGTCCAACAAGAGCTGTTCGAGAGTCCATGTCGACACCGAAGTCCAGGTTCTCGTACAGGTTGTCCTTTGCATCTCCAGAGTAAGAGAAGGTAACGTCGTCAAGCGACAAGACAGGTGGGGGCAGCTTCTCGACGTCGGCAAAGCGGAAAGTGAAGACACGGTCAACGGCAACGGGCTCGATCAGACCATCGGCCTCCATCTTGTCCAAAATCTTCTGGCGAGACTTGGCTTGTCTGACCAAGTTGGCGTAAGTACCAGCGGAAGCAATGAACTTTTTGATGTGCTTGATCTCGTCTTGCTGCTTCTCGTAGGCCTTGGTCTGGTTGACCTCCTGCTCGGTACGGGTCTTGTGGTATGTGTCGTAGTTACCTCCGTAGTAGAGGAGCTTCTTCTGACGCATGTCGATCATGTTTGTGCAGACACCGTTCAAGAAGTCCATGGAGTGGGACACGAGAACCAGGGTGCGCTCCCACTTCTTCATGTACTCCTCGAGCCACACACAGGCCTCCAAGTCCAAATGGGCAGTGGGGTCGTCGAGCAGCAGCAGGGCGGGCTTGACGAACAGCGCCTTGGCGAGCGCAACACGCATACGCCATCCACCGGACATGTCCTTTGTCTTCTTGTTGATGGTAACCTTGTTGAAACCGAGACCGGTAAGAATGAGGGATGCGCGGGTGTGGAAGGTGGACGGGTCCATGTCTTCTTGACGCTGGTATAGTGTTAGTGGCGTGCCGCACTTTGATGTGGCGTGTACATACCTCGTAGATGTCGTCAAGGAGGGGGCTCTCGGGGCCGTCCTTCTCAAGGATATCCTCAGCCAGCTTCTCGAGACGGGCCAGCTCGTTCTCAGCCTCGCGCACAACCCACTCCAGGGCACCCAGCTCAGTCTTGGGGGCACCCATGTTCAGCAAGTAGATGTCGATGTGCTCTGGGAAGGGGAACTCGCGCTTGTCGATGGCCTTGAGCAGGGTCGTCTTTCCGCAACCGTTCTCACCCAACAGACCGTATCGGCGGCCGTAGTTGATCTCGAGGGTGGAGTCGTTGAAGAGGACCTTTCCGTGGAACACGAGCGATGCAGAGATGATCTTGACATCGCGCGACTGCTCGAGCGAGGCAAGCACACCGGTGGTGACGCGGTCGGACAGACCGTGCTTGTCCTCCTGCATGGTCAGCTTCTTGACCTCCTCGTTCAGCTCGAGGTCCTCGGCCTCGTCGCCGTTCTCAGAGTTGGCCTTGGAGGCATTCTTGGAGTTGGCCTTGGAGGACAACTTGGACGTGGCCGTCTTCTTGGGCTTCACATCGCCGTCGGCGGCGCGCTTCGCCTGGCGGGCAGCTTTTGAGGCGGAGACCATGGTGTCTTAGTGGTTTATGGGTGAAGACTCTGGGGTGGTGGAGGGAGGAGGAAATTTCGTAGGGTTGGGATCAACGTCAATCTGTGCCCCGCTAAGTCTCTTATCGATAGGTGTCGATACCCAAAGGTTTCAGTTTCGCGTCCTGTTCAAAGCGCGACACTCGGATGTGAAAACGAGTGGAGTGATGAAGCGCTGGAAGTGGTGTAGCAAGAGAGGATTTGAGAGTAAGGAACGGCCAGGGCTGGTCAAACAATGCGACCCTGTGAATCAATTTTCTTACTTGTGGCGAAGGCTGCGCACGGCCAATGAGCGCTCCCCCACCATCATCATAGGGCAAGTAAGGCGCTCAACGCTCGAGGCTGACACCGCTACACGCATCTTTCGTTAGGATAGTAAGTCACCAGACAGGTAGCTAGGTCCAGATCCGGGCGAAGCAAACAGTGTCTTCGTATGTATTCTGTACGAATATGTTTTCTATGTCTCCAGAAGTCCCGCCATGTGCCCCTCAACGCAAAAGTACGCCATGCGCATCTTCCTATGTATATTTAGGTATGCGATGAACATGTGCTGCTCAGATCCCATTTTCGTTCAAAGTTACGAAACGATGAAGAGTATCGTTGGTATTAGGCATCACCTGTGTGGTTGTTGAGCATTGTGGATACCCCACGAAAGAGCGATGATCGTCATAGTTCTTATCTTCACCAGCCTCAACAGCGATAAGCGCCGTCTATATACCGTGACTGCTCCCGCTGTTGCTCGGCACCATAGTGAACTCAGCACTGCTCCTTTCGCTATCCGCTTCTTCCTTTTCTGAATCTACAGGCTTTGTCTCCTCGTCGACCCTCTCTCGTAATTTTCCTTGTAACTTTTCCAGTACTCTCGTCTCTTCCGCATTCAAGTTCAAATCGTCTGGCAACGTAATCCGGGCGCCGTTGATCTCAATCCTGTGCCTTTCGCAGTCATAGTGTTGCTCATCTGCACTCTTCTTTCGTTCTAAACCGCCCGTCGCATCTGGCACCACCTCTTCATCCCCAATCTTCACTTTCTGCAGATCCAAAGGGGTCCACCAGTATATCGGGAACTGCCTCTGGATGTTATTGATGACCAGCCCAACTGCAATCATAAGAGTAGTACCCCACAGAACAAGGCCGACGAAGTACCAGCCCATGGCTGTGATGACAGGGTCTGTGGCTGCAAGCACCGCGGATGCGCCGCCCGGTGGATGCACAGTGTTGGTCAAGAGCATGACGGCAGACGCGCAACCGCATGCTATAGCGCCTGCAATCCATCGTATCGAATCGAATTCCGAGTGATATTGGAACAGTTTCGATATGCCGACGCCGATGAGTGCAGAGATTCCATGGCCGAGGAGGGCATTGCGCGGTTGACCGAGTGGCGAGCGTATAGAGTTGTACTCAAGAATCGCAGAGGCACCCTGTATCACCAGTCAGCACAACAGATCACGCTCGTAACAGCAACAAGTAACATACGAATGAGGCGATCAACGCTGGCGGCTGATGCCATTGTATGCTGTCCGTATTATTGAAGACTGCCGCTACGACCGCCAGACCGCAGAACGCGCCCAACAGCGACCAGAACGCTCCAAGTATGTTCCCAACATCTTGACGCGTCTCCCTTCTATACCCAAGGAACCTCGACACCGGCGTCGGAAGCTTGTGCAGCGGTGAAGGAGGAATGATGCGATTGAGGTAGCGATCGATATCAAGGTCCCATTCCCTGGCTGCAGAGAACATACTCATACTGACCAATGTAAACACAAAACAAACAAAACCTTTCCATGCGAATGGATAAGTAAAACAGAAAGCAGATCAACAGCTCAAAGAGATTAAAGTTCAATGGCCCCGGGAGCGGACCGTCAAAAGCACGAACGTGCAACCAAAGTCCCTCATCGCGCAATTTATTCCCGGATCCAGCTGTCAAACAACGGTACTTTGTCCGCTCCTGCACCATTCGAATGCGCAAATATGCCCATTTACTCTGACGTTGACCTTGCACATGCGCGACGATCTGAGTAAAGGTCCACGCGCAGCAAGTTGGGCTTTACGTAAAATTACGTACCACAAATACAGCTGCAACATGGCTTTGTGAACATCTCCTCGGTTCCGCGGATGCGATTCTGAGTATTGGAATTAGGGCACTGAGATGTTTTTGAGTTAAGGAAGTGTATTGTAGGTAGCTAAATGATCGCTGGAGCGATGGGATCACAGTCAAAGGGTAAACCTTACCCGCAGCCTTCTACCCACCATTGACAATAAAAGGTAATGGGTTGCAATAATTTACACACCTGCCGTATCCATCGAGCTGCGCAAGCTATCGCGGTGTATGAGATTGTACTCCTTACCGTACCTGCAAGCCCCCGTGGCAGTTGGACGAGCTGTGGCATCCCTGCCATTACTACGCTAGACAGCAGCTTACATGGATCTCACCTGAGTGTAAGGACAGCACACACGACTAGGAGAAGGCTGTTAATCAGAAACTGTGAAATTCACAAGTAGGAAAATGCATTCATTAGACAGCGTACTATACTGTGATGTAAACGGATATGACACTCTTTGAAAAGGTATCGAAAGGTACCGAGGCGTTATGCATCGTTCCGATCGTTGAACTGCGCTCCATGTTTGTAACGCCTGTGGTATAACAAAAAAGTGTTTACCCTAGATCGATCGGTCCCATGCGTCGCTGACCGACAAACGCCTCATGAATAATGCGACAACCCGAAACCCATGTCATCTATACTCCTGTGAAGACGTGAAACTGCTCCTGCGACTAGGTACCACGGAACAGGAACTGCAAATCCTCAGGGCTGAGGCGGTCCATGGCAACTTTGTCGTTGTTCACGGTACCAGCAATCATAGCGGCCTTCTTCTCCTGTAACGCAACCATACGCGACTCTACACTGTCCTCGATACAAAGGCGAGTGATCACACAAGGACGACGTTGACCGATACGATGGCATCGGTCGGCAGACTGCCACTCAGCTGCTGGGTTCCACCACCTGCGTCTCATTAGCGTTCTGTGGAAAAATGTGGCAAAGACTATTACTTACGGGTCAACGATGAACACCCTGGATGCTTCAGTAAGGTTGAGAGCGACGCCACCAGCCTTGAGGGAGACGAGGAAGACCTCAACATCCGGGTTGGTCATGAAGTGATCGATGCTCTTCTGGCGCTGTGCAGGAGTCATGCTGCCATCTAACATGACGGTATTGAAACCGGCACGACGCAGACGCCACTCAATGAGCTGCAACATCGACGTGAACTGACTGAAGACGATGGACTTGAGTGTCTGCTTCTTGCTCCGAAGCTTGTAGAGGTCATATACCAACATCTCAATCTTGGTGGATGAAGTCCAATTCTCCATCTTGATGCGGTTGATGATCGACGTCTTCTTGACTGAGTCCTCGTCTTGCTCAAGCTCTGGCTGTTCAAAGTCGATGGACAAGGCGATGTGGCAGCGAGGACAGTCTGCGTCCGTGCCAGAGGCTTCGCAGGTATCCATAAAGTCCTTGATGCAAGCGCGACAGAACTCGTGACGGCAGTGAGAACGTACCGCGTCCTCGGCGGGCTCGTCGCAGATATTGCAGACGTAGACATTACCAGCACCTTCGGCCGCATTCTTCTTTAGCAAAAGATCGGGATGGTTGGCGACCTGTCTCATCTGCATGATGAGACCGAAGATGTTGGCGTAGTTGTTGAGCATGACACCCTGCGCAACGTAAGTATCGAACTTGCGAGCGGAGTTCGACATGATCGACGTTGAGAAGTCGCGCTCCACCTCACTGAAGAACTCTTGGTGGATGATGATGTCCTTCATCGGCAACTCCATGGAGTTCGTATGATCGCGCTTCATACGTCGTAGCATGATGCGAGCAGTGATCAAATGAAGCTTTGTCAGGGCCTCCTCGCGGAGCTTATGGTCATCGCCAGTGATTGGGTTGAGCAGCTCCTGGTTGAACACTGAGATGTGCTCAGAAGCACCGTGGTTGCAGGCAACACACATGTGGTCATCGTCGGTGGCCCAATGCAGCTTCTCGCACTTGCATGAACGGCAGAAGTAGTCCGCAAATGGACGAACTTCCAGGAAGCGAAGAAGTGAGAAGAACTCTCCAATGCGATTCTGGACTGGCGTGCCAGACAAGCACCACTTGTAGTCACCAGTCAGCGCAAAGCAAGCCTTAGCTACACCGGTGTTGCGAGACTTGATACTATGCGCTTCGTCCAGGATAAGGCGGTGGTAGTGGATGGCATGGAGTGGTGATGCCTCCTTGACGATATCCTCACCGCGGGACCATCCTTTGGTTTCCTTGCGATGCAGCGATTCCAGAGAGTTGTACGAAACCATGATTACGTCGTAAGACTTGAGCTCCTTAATCGACATCTTCTTGCACTTGGCGTTTGTGCCGTGGTATACCAGAACCTTGAGCTTGTTGTTTGTGTACTCGCGGATCTCGTTGGACCATTGCATCAGAGCGACTGGCGGGACACATACGAGCGTCGGCTGCTTTGCAGGGTAATCGGACATGATCAGGGAGACAGCCTGAATAGTCTTGCCCATACCCATCTCATCTCCGAGCAGCCCACCCTTGTAGTGAGTCTTCTCCTGCCGAATCATCCAGCTAAGACCCTCAAGTTGAAATGGCTTCAATCGTCGGGTAATAGACTCTGGTTGCTCTGCCTGCTGAACCTCCAGGACGGGGATGTCCTCCAGAGTCTTCCACATAGTCTTCAGCTTTGGATGCTGTTGCTCTGCTCGTTCACGGTTCATGGCCCGCTTCCGCTCCCACTTGTCCGCGATGTGCGCATACCTCGCCCGACGATCAGTCGCTTCGTCTTTGTCGCCGCGGGTGAGCTTCTTCTTCTTCCGGCCTCCAGATGCTTTCGGTTGGCGCGCCGCAGCAATCTTCTTCAGACGGTCACTTGTCGTCATCAAAGGCTCTTCATCGCTGTCGCTAGCTATTGGTGTCTCGACATCGTCAAGGAAAGACTCGGCGTCATCCACATCATCAGGACGAAACTCGCCGCCGTCAGACTCCTCGTCATCGAGAAAGTCCTCTTCCTTGAACGTTGCCTTCTTCGCACTAGAGCGTGCAGGACGACCACGCTTTGCTGAAGACTGAGCCTTGGCCTTGCCTTTGCCCTTGCCTTTGTAAGATGGTGCTGACGACAGAACAGCTGTCATTGAATCTGCGTCGTCATCGCTGAAGACCTCCTCGACCTTGGCTTTGCCCTTGCCCTTGCCAATGTATGAGGGCGCCTTCTTGCGACGTGAAGGCGCGATGGGTTCATCCTCGGATAGCATGTCCTCATCGTCCTCGTCCTTGATCTTCTGGCGCTTGCTGTGTGGCGCATCCTCATCGTCCTCCAACTGTATTTGTGCAGCGATCTCAGCGTCCATGTCGAGCGTCCAGTTTTCGGAGTCAGATTCGGAGTCTGACACGGCGGTGCGAGATCGTTTGGATGAGGTGCTCTGCGAAGGCGTCGTAGCGTTGTTCAGCCGACTACGGGCGGGGTTCTTGCCACGACTGACTGACGCAGCTGGCGTGGTCGAGATGCTAGTTCCTTGTGTTTCGTAGTCTGAGTTCTCCAGGGAAGGTGAGGCGGTCGAACTCTCTTGTCCTGCTTGTTGCGCGTTGAGCCCTGCTAGCCGTCCGCGAGTGGCGGGCGCCTTCTTGGACTTCATGGCGGGGACTCTAACTTCTTTCAACACGCGGCGGGCGCTGGCGGATGATTGAGGCACCTCGGGCTCGATGGTTTCGCTCTCGTGGTCGGAAGAGTCGGGGATGAAAGATCGAGAGGTACGAGGGCGCGTCTGTTTGTGGCGACTATCAGCCAGGGAGGAGTCTACCAGGGCTGTAATCGCATTAGCGCAAGAATGATGCACAGCATTCACTTGTTAAGCCAAAGTGAAGCCCAAAGTCAGCCTGTACATACCAGTTGTCGGCGCTGGGGAAGGTGCGGTGGCGACGTCATTCGCGACACCAGTCGACTTGCGGGTTGATCGCCGCGGCGCCATTATGATGAATTGGTGAAAGGAAAAGCAAGTGAAAATGCGACAGAGATCGAGGAACGCGCAGCGAACACTGATGGACGGATTGAACGAGAGACTGTAACTTCGAGGGAGGGGTGAGATGACAAGAAGCACTAATTGTCGAAGGGTAGATACCCCTGGCCCTTTTGCGCCGATAGCCCGTCGCGCGTTCACGCCTCAGGTGGCAAATTCAGGGACAAGGTCGCAGAAAAGCAAGGATTGCAGGGCTTCGTAGAGACAAGTGCGCAAACGGCGTCTGCTGTACAACACTGTCTCGGAAATGTACAACAATCACTGCAAGCTTGTCATGCAGGTGCGATGTGGGTGGGGAAGACGCGTCGCGTGCTGGAGACGGTAGCACGTGATCGATTCCAGGCTGCCATCTCATCCGTTTACGGACTAGCGCTGGATATCCCGCTGCAAGTCCGAAGACGCGTAAAGCAAGAAGATCTGCTATACTTTCAATAGAGGTTTTCGACTAATCAACAACGCCATGTTCACTTCAGAAGATCTCTCCACGCATGCTCGGATCCCGCGCGAGCCATCTGGTGTCGCCAAAGAACGTGACCCCGATGCTATACCTCTCGCAACGTTCCTTCGCTTCATGGATCTTCCCAAAGACATCCGATTCCTGATCTATGAACACCTACTCAATCGGCGCATCAAGCCTTTATCTTTTCCGGACAAGGGGGTTGCCTATGAGGTGGTCACAATAGATCCAGCAGTCGCCCAGGCGTCACGCCAGCTTAGGGACGAAGCACGAGTGGCGACGCGTCACCAGCGTCTTGGTGGACCGCTTGTAATCTACATGATCAAATCATTCGAGCATGTGGGAGATGTTTCTCGCACACTATCCATGGCTTACGACTCTGATCAACAACATATATCACGACAGCGCATTGATGCAGCTGCATTCGAACACGCGGATGTGTCCGACTCGGTTTCAGAAAGCCCCATCAGATTGCTCCATAACATCTTTTTCTACGCTATCACAGGAAAATACTTCTTCGGTCGTCCACCCTCCGAGCGAAAACGGGCGATATTGCTCACTCGGAGTTACTTCGAATTCGTTGTGAGGAAGCTGCGGCACAATGCTCACGTAGAATACCGGTTCTTGATAAGGGCGAACAATCTTACACGTATGAACTCTGGTAAGGATCGAGCAGAGCCCATGAACACGGCTATATCCAGGCAAGGAAACACACGATGCGACTTTGTCCTAGTCCCCGACAGTCACGCTACGCAAGCTTCTCTTTCACAAATAGAGCTGTCACCGGCTGGCGATTGTGTGCCCACGGAATTGGCCACACCTAAAGAACTCGCCTATATGCGGACCATGATATCCCAACTCGGAAGAGCCCGACCAACACAATCAGGGCTGCGGTAATGATTCAAGGTTGCGATTATGTATTACCATCCATCGTCAGCAGGAACAAGGGCGTTCAGAATCAATTGCAGGCTACACGGACCAAACCCCAGATCCGCGTTGCTAATTGGCGAGTGGCAACAGAGCAGAACCTCGACGCATGGCGGGAATCTCACAAGGTTGCTTGTATCTGATCACTAGGATGGCAAGCAAACAGGGCGCTGAAGAAAAGGAACTGCTATCATGGCTGCACGCCGAGACCGTTCGCAGGATTTCTGGGATATTCACATAGTGGGGATAGAGAAAAGTTGTCCATCAAGTCCAGCGCTGGATATGGCCGGTATCAAAAGATTGGTTAACAGTACAAATCCACAACTCAGCATTCTATGCGATTGCTACAAAGGAATCCAAAGTACCCAGGTTCCACAGTTTTCAGACTGGAGACCTAGCGCGTGCGAATGCAGCTATACCTCCTCTTACTCAGAATTGCATCAGGTCATAAAGCCAAGATCCAGCCGTGGTCAAAACGGGACAAGATAACCCATATCATCACAAGACTCTGTGCTCAAAGCGCTCATTGGTAGTCACGGTAGTTGTAGAAACAGCCGATCCGCCGGACGTCGAGTTCCTGCTCTGTCATGACCTCCCATTGCAGCTTCATGTCCCTCTTATCATGAGGGTGGCTTCGATACCGTTCCCTCAACTGAGTCGGTGACGGAATAGCATCGGGCTGTGGTGTAGTCGTAAAGACCACAGTCACATCAAACGGACCAATGTGTTCCCGGTGATATTCCCGGCGACTATTGACTCTTTGCAAGAGGTAGTAGAGCAAACCCTCGTCGCGTTCTACTTCTTCATTCGGGGACAGAACTCTCAACTGAAAGCGTGTCTCTTTGCGCATTCTGAGCACACAGAGACGATAGACTTTCTGGAGCATTGTGTCGTCGAATTGAGTAAGAGGGGACGCCGTACTTTTGCTGCGCTTCTGCTCCATACGCCGAATCCTCGTCTTCAGTTGACGGGTCAGTACTAACTGCGTAAACTTAGAGAGTTCGACAGGCATTTTGGCATCGCCATGGTTATCTTTGGACATCATATCTAAGTGATGACCCGCAGAGAGAGCTTCCAGAAAGCGGAGTGCAAACCCGCCATGTCCTTCCACTGCAACAAGCGTGATAGATTGCCCCGGGAAGCCTGTGCGGAAGTAGGCTCTGATCTCATCGCACAGAAGGCGGTTGACCAGTAATAATGCCGTGGGAGGCATCAAGGCTTCATACCAGAGGCAACGCTGATTTCCAAAGATCGATACCAAGTGACTCTCGGGCTGCAAGTAATCGTATACTAATAACCGGATGTCTTTGGGAAGATCGAGGAAGCGGAAGGCATCAACGATGCTGTCCATCCTGGGCTCTGAGGACAATACATGAGGAGCTTATGTATGCCGGCGTGGATGGGGTCCAAGAGCTGATGGGCGTCGTTCAATGTGGTGAAGCCAGGTTTCTAGTCCATTGCCGTCTTCCGTTGTCGTGATGATGGTACAATAGGTTATGTTGTCCAGCCTAGTGAGACATGATATCTATATTCAGCTTCAAAGGTAGCGCGAATTGTGATGGCGAGCCGTTCTAGAGGGATTTCGCGGTGTCGATGGGGAATGGAATGAATGTCGATGTTCAGGAAGTTCCCGGTTCACCTGCATCAGATGCGGTGCACGGACCCACGCGCATCGGCAGGCGTCGCAAGACATGACGATTCCAGGCTCAGGCACCTCATCCAACCGCAACCACCGACGTCGATCACCTCCAACCCCCATCTCCTCCTACAATATCCTCTCCATCGCCAATACAGGTAGCGAACTACCTAACGCTACCACGATCGAAGCGCCGTCAACGCCACCGATAAGCTACCCGCCGCCGCGCGATACCGAAGCTCCAAGTCGCCCATCATGGTGAAGCCCGTTGTTTCCGCGATGAATGCATGGACGTGGTATGCGCGAAACAATCTAGGGAAGAAGGAATAGCAAGGAAGCTAACGGAGTGCTAGCATCGTCGTGTCGCTCTTTGCCATCGTCATTCTCTCCACGATCGGAGCTCTGTTCAAAGTACGTTTTCCTCGTGCCCATGGTCCCGACAAGGACGAACACCTTCGAATCCACAGTCGCGACTGGTTATGAGAACTGTAAGGCGGAACTGATGCTAACACGCAACTCGCAGGGACACAGCGGAACCGTAATGGGAGGACATGAAGACCCCGAGGATGGTGGCGCAGTTGCCGGCGCGGTATTCGGCGCCGTCTTCATATACATTGTACGTTGAAATGGGGAAGATAACATCGCAGTTTGCTAACGTCTTTCCAGGGCTTCTTTGTCTTCTGTGGCCTGCAGGCCTTCCTCCACATGCGCGAAAGCCGTCGCGGCGCGATAAGCCTGTCATAATCTTGAACAGGATGCGAAATACGATTCAGCGGCAAGATGAGACGAGAAATCATCTAAAGAATCTTTGGATGCGACGAGGGCATCGGGACAGGCATGCGTCATTGCGCCTGTGGAGGAAAGGCAGGGGCACTTGTACATTGTAATATGACATACGGCGTTCAGCGGGCACAGGCGGGTTCATACATTTCCGTAGCAAGACATTGGATTAGCTTAATATGTGCTATCTGTACGTGTGCATGAGCCCTGCATATGTCAATTGAAGCACCAGGACCGATACATGCACCAACGCCAAAACGCGCCAGCCACGACTTTCCCATCTACCAGTCCCTCTCCCACAACGGCTCGAGCGTCTTGCTCATATATGGGCCGTCAAGCCAGTAACCCAGTTTGCCATAGTAACTCCGCACACCAACACCAGAGATAACACTGATCTTACTGCTTCCATGCTCTTCCCTGGCTATCCGCTCTGCCTCCTCCATCAAAAGCGTACCATAACCTTGATGCTGGAATCTCTTCGGGTCCCTTGCATGTATAGGGACAGCAGACCCGTAGACGTGCAGTTCGCGTACCAGCGAAGAGGGCTGGCCAGTCAACTCTGGCCGGAAAGTGTGTTCTTTCGAACATTGTCGTAGACGAAGCAGGGCGATCAAGATGTCCTGTTTTGGGTCTTCGTACGCAAGGAATGTTTCCCAACCGCCGTTAGCCGTGTAGTCACGACGTACCAATTCGACCTGATCGGGGCGGATCTTGTGCTTCACTTCGTTGATGCCAACTTCGCGCGTCCGTACATCGCGACACGAGGTACCGAAGTCCTTCATCCTTGCCAGCGCCAACTCTCGCAAGTTACCATTCTCAACACCGGATGTGACAAGCGGCATGGGGATATCGCGCTGCACACGGTAGATTCGCGTCCATGGCGGTACTAGGGCCAAGATGCGGGCAACGATATCGATGAGAGCGTTTGGGGTGTAGTTCTTGTATCTTCCTGTCCGCCAGAGTTCGTACAGTCCTGTGCCGCGGATGACAAGTGTAGGATAGATCTTGAGTCCATCGGTGCGGAAGTCTGGGTTTGAGAAGTACTCTACGAATTGATCGAGATCGCGCTCCATACCAACGTTAGGCAGGTCAGGCATCATGTGCGACACCACCTTGAATCCGGCGTCTTTGGAGAGACAGAAGGTCTTCGCTACGGCGGCGACAGTGTGGCCTCGGTTGGTGTCGCGCGCTACATCTTCGTAAAGGGACTGTACACCGATCTCGAGACGCGTACATCCGTAGCGTAACATGGAGGACAGATGTTGATCCAAACAGTAATCTGGTCGTGTTTCGATGGTGATACCCACGCACTTTATGTTACTCATCTCCCCGGCGGCAACAGCCTCGTCAACGTCTTTGGTTTGATATCCCGAAAGCGCGTTGTGTAGTTGTGAGATGAACTCGTCCCGATATGACTCTGGTAGCGACATGAATGTACCGCCCATAATGATGTACTCAACTTTGTCGACACTGTGACCGAGCGACTTAATCTGGTCGACTCGTCCACGAGCCTGCTCGTAAGGATCATATCGCGCTCGAATAGCGCGCATAGATGTTGGCTCGTAACCTGTGTAGGACTGTGTTGAGTACTCAAAGTCGGAGTCTGGACCTCCTGGACAGTATACACAGATGTTACCAGTGTAGGCAATGTGTGGGCACCGGTGAGGTTTGCACATGACCGCCACTACTGCAATACCAGATGAAGTGCCTACAAATTACATCAGTCTCACAATACTTATGCAATATCATTGAGGGCAACGTACGGATCGGCTTGGCGATGAGCTTCGGGAGGATATATTTCTTGTAGTGCTCAGGCACAGCCGCGATAATCGCCGTGAGTGGAGGCTGGCTCTTGAGGTAGTGCTTCTTCGCGATCTGACCTCGTAGCGAGTTCAGATTCAGATCCTTCTTAGGTTTTGAACCGTCGGCCTGGGATTCATAGTCCTGAATGAGCGCTGAGGCGATATCTGCGCACGCACGCATGTAACGTTCATTCTCGGGTGGCAATTTGACATTCTTTGGCAGCCTCCTCTTATGCTGCGTCTCTGTCACTGTCAAAGTCGCCATGGTGGGCAGATTTTATTGTTTGGTGTTTGCGGTTTACAGATGGCGAATCTTGGGGACTCAGACTCTGGATGTGAAAGTCACGGGTGGGGGTGGGATTTATTCCGAGCTAGGTCGCTTATGTACTAGCGCGATCGCTACAGTGCAGCTTGCCAGACTTCAGCAACGCTGAAGGTCACTCTCCCACGAACTCACTCATCTGCTCCATCGAGGCGCGCCCCAAACCTCGACCTGATCACATTAATTTGTTTTCGAATTCTTGCGTCCGTACCCATGGAGCACGAATGGCTTTGCCAGACCCGTGATCCATAACGGTAACATCGGAAGTAATTCAGTCTTGAGCGCTACGAGGTATCGGCCACCTTGTCAGAGAAACATCACCACGAAGCATTTGACGTCGAGATGACCACGAATCGATTCATTGTGTACGGGAACGCTAAACAAAATCACTGCAGCAAAACGCGCTATGTTACTTTGAGGGTATCCAGTC